CGAATCGTACGGTGTCGAATAATTTGGTGTCGAATAAATCTGTGTCGAATCGAGCGGTGTCGAATCGTACTGTGGTCAAACGGAACCCGCCCGCGCGGCCGGGGTGCCTCTCGCGGGGGTCTGTCGGCTGGGAAAGGGGCTGTCGCTACTACAGGCTTTCGCCTAGCGGGGGTTCCACATGACTCTGCTATAAAACAATTGCATGTGGCTCGCGGGGGTAGGTTAAGGTGCCAGGGGTCCCGATAATAGTGCAATCGGGACCTGATTGGTATGGGGGTGCCTCCTTTCCGGCGGGCGATGTAGATCGCAAGGAGGCTCGAGGAGGCGAGAAATCTAGACGCTCCCATAACTGGTGGCCCCGGGTGGGGCTCGCCGGGGGGGCGAAAAGAGGACTCTTAAGCCCATTTTTATCCCGGCCAGTTTTCCTCTACCTTGTCGTGGTGGCCGGGCTTAGGGGAACTATGATCCAGGGGGCCATACCGGCGGGGACTCCTTCGAGTCCCTGGTAGGGTCACCCATGCTCGGAAGGGCCCCTGGTGAGTTCCTGAACTAAGAGGGGGAATAGAGGAAGGAAAACCTCGAACAAAAACCCGGAGTTCTCAGCTCCGTTAGTCTCCAAAAACGGGGACAACTGGGATAGGGGAGTAAACCCTGACTTCAAAATCCGGGCAGGTCGGGCTCGTCAGACTTGGATGTCAACCGACCTAGGAGAAGGACACTCCGAAATTAAACCCCCCAAACAAAAACATGATGATGCACACCACACAGGAGAAGTTATTACCGGACCAGGGTGAACGGACACCCAGGTCCCGGCAGTTTGGGGGTCTTGGCCCTGCCCCCGTTTGGTCGTCATCATACGAGGGGTCGGCAGGATCGTGCGACGCAGGCGATCCTGTCTCTCATGCTACTGCGGATGGTAGCGAGGGGAAGTTCTGGAGTCAGGTGCGTCCAGGGGACGACGCGGTGAACGCGAGCCTGGCTTCAGAAGAGAACAGTCGCGGCGTGACTCGGGAAGCGCTTGATGCTCCTCTCGTGCTAAACACGTCATCCGACGACGAGGCAGCTCGACTCCAGGCGGCTGCAGACAGGAGGACCCGGTTCCTAAAATCTCCCACTCTGGCGACAGTAGCTGGGAAAAAAAACAAGGCCGGCAAGAAGAAGAAGAGCGGCAAGGCACCGATGGCCGCAAAAGGAGGCTCCAGCGCAATTATCTCCATATCGGACGATGATAGCATGGAGAGCAGGACGAACTCGCCTGGCCCCTCGCGAAGAGAGAGACGACGCAGAGGTGCAAAGCAGCTCAATACCGCTGCAGAAGAGGCGCCCACCTTCACCTCGAACGCGCGCAAGAGGAAGATGCCGCGCTTTAGTAACAGCGAGTCGGAGGGACTTCCGTCCGACGCCGAGCGGGAGATGGACTTTGAGTGGTGCCCAAAGTCAGCCTCCAACATAGTGGCTGTGATTCAGAACAAGGCCGAAGAGTTTAAAAATCAAGTACGCAGGTGTGGTAACCTGAAGGGCGTATATCGGCGAGACTTCAACCTCTTCGCTGAAGAAGTGGTAAGCGCCGTAGAGGCGCTGCATAAATGCGTAGAGGAGGCGGGGGATAACTCTCTACAAACGCGCATGCATGCAGCGGAGCACGAAGCGGAGCAGGCGCAAGCCAGACTCCGCCACTTGGAGGAGGAACGCAGCCGGCTTTTGGAGGAAGTACGCCATCTACGTACGGAAGGGATGGCTGCCGGTCTTTCTCCTCCTCTACCTGGAAGAGCGTCGGTCCAGGAGATGGCAATCCAAACGGATCCTTTTCCTGTAATCACATCAATCACGGCTCTGCCGGCTGGCACGGTCATTCCCCCGGCGATTCGACCCAAAGTCCAAGGGACCTCTAAGGTCATAGACGGACCAAGGGTCGTAGAGAAGAAGAGCAACGTGGACTTGCACGCCACCGTCAAGTCCATTGTTGCCGAAGAAATAAAGGAGGTAAAATCCCTTCTAGGCAGAATCCTCCGAGGCGCGTCGGAGACTGGGAGAGGTAGGAAGGAGGAAAAGGGGAACGCTGGAGCACAACCAACACCACCGATGGCTGGGCCATTGGGGGGCAATCCAGCCCCTTGGGTGGCTTTACCCCAGCGCGAGCAAGGAAGGGGACGAGGAGCAAGAACCACGCCGGCTCCGACGGGCAACCCGCCGGGAGGTGCTCCCACCTCTCAGCCGGACGCGGCTCCCTCTACCTCTAAGGAAAAGGGAGAGGAACGGGCGGTAGTCACGCGTCGCCGCGTTAAGGCGCAGCAGAAGGAAGGACCGGCGCGCAAAAAAGAAGCGGTTAGCTCTGCCAGACGAACCTCAGTCAGGGATGGGGCTAAAGAAAGGGATCCTCGAACCTCAACTTCGAGACTCCCCCTGCGCCTGCGGTCGCAGGGAAGACAGCCACCGCAAGGGCCGGGCCCCCGTCGTCGGCGACGAGGTCGTCCGGCGGCGGTGGCCATCCGGTGTGTTGCGGCAGAAGGAGAAGGCGAGCAAGCAACGTATGCCAGCGTCATGCGGCTTGCCAAAGAAGGAGTGTCCCTCCCCACGCTGGGGATTGAGGACACACGCATCAGGCGCGACGTCGGGGGAGGTATCCTCGTGGAAATCCCCGGTGCCGACGGTGCAACCAAAGCGGATGCCTTGGCCGAGGCGCTGGCCCCAATCCTCCAAGGGAAGGCCAGCGTTACCAGGCCTGTTCGACGAGGTGAGATCCGAATCGTCGGCCTTGACATGTCTGTTTCGCCAGCGGACATAGAGGATCGCATCTCGTCTGGAGACTTCGGCCCGTGTAGACGGTTCGAAGTAACCGTGGGGCCAATCACCCAGGGGCGTGACCGCCTGGGTATGACATGGGCTTGCTGCCCATTTGAGGTAGCCGCAAAGCTGGCCAACTCGGGCCGCCTAAAAGTAGGCTGGTCCAGTGCGCGGGTGGCACTCCTGCCGGGCCGAAAGCTTCAATGCTTTAAGTGCCTGGAGTTCGGCCATGTCCGGCAGGCGTGCCGCAACGAGGTGGACCGCACCGGCATGTGTTACCGATGCGGAAAAGACGGGCACTTAGCCCGCAACTGCAAGGACGTAGCCCGTTGCGTCTTGTGTGCGGATCGCAGTCTGCCCTCGGGGCATAGAATCGGCGGAGACTCCTGCTCGTCGCAGGACCGAGGCAGGAACGCTCCACCGAAAGGAAGTTCCGGTACCGAGCGGAGGACGGTGCCCCATGGGGATGAGCCCATGGAGACAGAAAATGGACCGGGTCCTTCAAATTAATTTGAACCACAGTGGCCCGGCCCAGGACCTGGCACTACAGGTCTCCCGGGAGCTGAGGGCCTGTGTCTTGGCCGTCTCAGAGCCAAGGAGAGTTCCGAGGTCCCCCGCGTGGGCGGGAGACTTAGACGGAAAAGCGGCAATTACGTGGTTTACACGCCCGGGTTGCCGTCCCGTCCGGGGGGTGTTGGAGCGGGGCCACGGGTACGTGGCGGTCCGGTGGGGCAAGATAGCGGTGTTTTCTTGCTACTTCCCCCCCAACAGGCGTCTTCCAGATTTTCTGGAGGAACTCCAAGCCCTCACAGATAGCGTGAGGCGAGTTGGGGAAGACCTGGTCCTCATCCTCGGCGATTTTAACGCCAAATCCGCCACTTGGGGATCCCATCGCACGGACGTGAGGGGACGAGTAATGGATAGGTGGGCCGCCGAACTCGGTCTACACGCCCTGAATATGGGCCGAGTGTCGACGTGCGTCCGGCCCCAGGGCTCATCCATCGTGGACATCTCCTGGGGGTCGGCGCGGGTGTTGCCTCTCATCCGCGGCTGGGAGGTTCTTTGGAACAGCGAGTCCCTTTTCGACCACCGATACATTACCTTCGGGGTGTCCAGTGGTGCGGAGGGAGTTCCAGGTGTTCGGCCGGCGAGGTTCCCACGGTGGAAATTAAAAGAATGGGACCTCGACCGCTTTGAGGCAGCGGTCATTGGGGCGTTGTGGGGAAATCCCATAAACACGGAGTGGGACTCCGAGAAGGAGGCAACGTGGCTGACCCGCACAGCCACGGATGCGTGCAACGTGTCGATGCCTCGAGTCCGCGGCACGGCAGACAGAAAGTCCACGTATTGGTAGAACGAGGAGATTGCGGGCTTGCGGCGGATGTGCGTTACGCACCGCCGCAAGTACACGCGAGCGCGCGTGCGTCTTCGCCATCGTCCTGGCGCGGTGGAAATCCTCCGCGTCAGGCTCCGGGAGGCAAGGCGCGAGTTGCGGAAGGCGATCGCCGCGGCGAAGAAGGTCGCCTGGGAAGAACTGACCGCAACTTTGGACAAAGACCCGTGGGGCATGCCATACAGAATAGTCTTGTCCAGATTGCGGTCAGCTGGGCCTCCTGCCACCGAAGTGATGGAAGTAGAGGAGGTACTTCGCGTGGTGGAGACTTTGTTCCCCACCCGCAAAGAAGGAGACCCCAGCGTGGAGGGCCGTATCCCCTGGCGGGACAATTACTCCGTCACGACGGACGGACTTCGTTCCGTCGTGCGGAGAATGGCGGGCAAAAAGGCCGCGCCCGGCCTTGATGGCCTCGTGGGCGCTGTGTGGGTGCGAATGGCACGTTTGGCACCGGATTGTTTGATCCGGTGTTTCAATCGCTGCCTGCGGGAGGGAACTTTCCCAAGCATCTGGCGCCGAGCCAAACTGATACTTATACCCAAGCCAGCTCAAGCCGGCGCTGCTCCCTCCCACAGGCCGATCTGTCTCCTCGGGGAGCTCGGGAAGTTGTTTGAGCGAATAGTCGCTCGAAGAATCGAGGAGTGCCTTGAGAGGCGAGGAGGCCTCTCGGCTGGGCAGTTTGGATTCCGCCCCAAACTGTCCACAGTAGACGCCATTCAGCGGTTCCGGAGTATCGCGGAGGGCTTTACACGGGAGGGTGGACTTTGCGTCGCGGTTAGCCTCGACGTGAGAAACGCTTTTAACACCCTCTCGTGGGAGTCCATCAGGGGCGCCGCGAGATGGTGGGGGTTCCCCGTATACCTGCGCGCGGTACTGGACAGTTACCTGTCAAGCAGGTTCGTCCAGTTCCCGTGCGCAGACGGCAGAATCAGGTTCCACCGGGTGACCTGCGGAGTCCCACAGGGTTTCGTTCTGGGACCATCACTGTAGGATGTCGGGTACGATGCGGTTCTCCGCGTCCCCCTCCCGCCGAGGTGCTCGCTGGTGTGTTACGCTGATGACACACTGGTGTTAGCCGGCGGGCACAACGAGCGGGAGATGTTGCGCCGCGCGGTGGTGGCGCTCGTGGCGGTGGAGCGGCGGCAGGCGACGCTCGGCCTCGGTCTAGCCCCAGCGAAAACCGAGATGGTTGTTTTCCGAGCACCAGGCCGGGGAGACAGACAGGTGACGGTGCCGGTTGGGAATACCCAAGTGGTATCCCAATCGGCCATGAAATACTTGGGGCTCCAAGTTGACGCGAAGTGGGACTTCAAGACCCACTTTGCGTACGTGGCGGCTAAGGCCATGCGGGTGGCCCGAGCTCTCGCTAGCCTGTTGCCAAATCTGGGGGGTCCTCGGCCAGGGGTAAGGCGCCTTTACGCCAACGTGGTCCACTCCGTCATGATGTACGGAGCACCGGTGTGGTCCCGTGCATCGGGAGTGGGCCGGGCGTCGGCTCCCCTCGCTGCAGTGCAGCGCGTTATTGGGGGTAGGGTGGCGCGGTGCTACCACACGGTGGCCCTGGAGGCAGTAAGAGTACTGGCGCGCATTCCGCCAGTAGAGTTACTGGCGGAGCAGTTAGCTCGCGTCTACGCGGACATAAGAGAGCTGAGGGCGGACGCACGGGATGATGACAATCCCGTGGACATCAGTCGCGCCCGCGCTCGAGCCTTCAGGGCCACTGTGGTCAGGTGGCAGGAGAGGATACGGAATCCTCTCCTGTCCGGTAGAAGGGTGAGGGAAGCCGTGGGCCCTGTGCTCCCGGACTGGGTGGATTGCTGCCACGGGTATCTCACCTCCGGCACCACCCAGATCCTAACGGGGCATGGGGTGTTCGGCAATTTCCTCCATCGTATAGGAAAGGCGGACTCTCCAGCGTGTGAGCACTGCGACTCGGATTTCGACTCTGCAGCTCACACGTTGGAGGAATGTCCAGCATGGGAGGAGGAGAGAACAACGCTCACCCTCGTGGTGGGCAAGGACCTCTCCCTGCCATCTGTCGTTAGACAGATGGTGAGGGACCAAGAGAAATGGCGAGCGGTGACGAGGTTTTGCGACCTTGTCATGCAAGCCAAGGCAGAGGCAGAGCGCCTGCGGCAAGGGCAGCCAGCTGGCAGGAGGCGGTACCGTGCGGCAACTCCCTCCTCGGAGGGAGATTAGGCCGCAAAAAACCTGCACTTGGCTGCAGGTGAGGAGGTGGATTCTTCCCTCCCTCGTCTCGTTGGGATGTCTCTAAGACTACCCCACAGCAGGCGGGGGAGAGAGGAATTTGGGGTTACAGGCGGGAGGTAGCGGGGGCTCCCTCCTGCCATTGCACGTAACCTATAGAGTTAGGTGGGGAAGTGTAGTGGTCCCACTTCTTCACTTAGTTGGAGGTTGAGAGAAGATGACCTGCTACCATCTTCCTTCAGGACATGCATAAGGGAGGGAGCCGCGAGGTCATAGCCTTCGGGTTTTCCAGGCTCCTTCCTGAGTGTCGGAGGACCGCCGAGGAGTTTTAGTGGGTAACCCCTCTTTGGGGAGTCCCACACTACCCCCACTCTCCCCCGAGAGTGGAGGTGTCCATCAAGGATTTCTCCTCGTTAAAAAAAAAAAAAAAAAATGGAGCAGACGAAGTAGAAGAACTTGAAGAAAGTGATGAAAATGAGGAAGAAGATACTTGTACACCAAAAGGAGAAATTGTAAATAATGACTATANAAGAAGAGCTGTTGAGTTCTGGAAAAGTNGAAAAAAGGGATATTACACTTTATCAACAGTACAAAATCGTTTTAGAAAGGTAACGTCTATGTCGCAGCTATATAGATGGAATCATTCTCTACAAAAAGGTGGTACTCATAGACAAAAACTAGTAGATATTTNTACATATGTCTTGGAAAAGTTCAAAAACGCTCTAACGACAACAACAAAATTATTCATGATCTAGATCTACGGGCGTTAGAAGCAAAAGAACAAATTAATCTTCCTCAATTTAAAGCAGGAGCAATGTGGGTATTAAATTTTAAAAGAAAACACGGGATTGTGTCAAGAAAAATAACAAAATTTATAAACCGTTCATCAAAGACAAATCAGAATCCATTACAAATTGCATGCCAAGAATTCATAAGTTCTGTGAAATCATTTATAAATCTGTTTGAAACACAAAATATATATAATGCAGACGAAAGTGGGTTCAATTTGGAAATTCATTCAGGCAGAACATTGACAATACAAGGTGTTAAAACAGTTGAAACCATAGTTCAATCACAATCAGCAATTACACACAGCTATACAATTATGCCTACAATTTCTGCAAGCGGGCAACTACAATCACTTCTTTATTTGGTATTGAAAGAAGCCAGTGGAAGTTTTGGGCCACGTGTAGAAGAGACTTTATTTAGACCTGCAAATATTTTTATCGCAGCATCAAAATCAGGAAAATTAACTACACAACACTTTCAATCTTGGTTTACAAATGTATTTTTACCCGCAACTGGAAACTTCAGTGTGTTATTAATAGATTCTTGGAGCGGACATTGTCCCGAAAGCTTACAAGAATTTATCCATCTAAAGATAAAGATATACGAATTTTAAAAATACCAAAAAAAACTACTGGAATGATTCACCCTCTTGATGTTTATGGATTTAGACTATGGAAAAACTTTGTGAGAACATTCAGTGATCGCGTTATATTATTAAATTATGATATCAATTTACATTTGAGAAATAATATCATCAAATTACAATCCTTAACACATATCCAGCTATCTTCTCCATGATACCATAATCTTTTTAAATATGCTTGGTTTAAAAGTGGCTACATCGAAGAACGACCACCACAGTTCGAAACTCCAGTAGATTTTTGTTTCTCTGAAAAAGATATACAAGAAATACCACGCTGTTCTATATGTGGGGCACCCGCTATAATACGTTGTTCCTGGTGCAAGAAATATTATTCTATGCATCATTTTTTGAAGGAATATCATGATTGTAAACACTATGAAGTATAAGAAGTTCTTGTAAGTAAAAGATTTTTATTTAAATAATATTTATTGCTAATGTTTATATACTAATAAATATTCTTATACATTACAGAACATG